CTCAAGACCTCTTCTCAATAAGAAATGCCCGATTGGGATATTCTTTCTTTTCCTGACCGTCTGAGGAACTTATCTATTCTTGATCTTGATTTCCTTCTTGTGTACCATCTGATGAAACTTATCGCCTAGTGGGAGCCTTTACTTCCAGGACACACTTGGTCCCAACCTTTTTTGGGCAGTGATTTTTTATCCACTTGTAGTAGAGAGATGACTTATGATGGATCCCAGGTTCTTATGTGACCTAGTAAGGACTAGGCCATATTGTTTCAGTATAATATTTTCCAGCAGCCATGCCTAATTAAAGGAATTTTACTGGTGTACATCTTCCATTACCCAAAAGGCCAGATTCCCCAACAATCTTTTTGCCTTGTAATGGTGGAAGATTCTCAAGAGTGATGGGGATTCTCGTCGATTGTGATATCATTCAACAACTTCTAGGGAAATGCATTCTCAACTGTAACCAAAGGGTTGGATCTTAGTATAGACTAGAGACCGTTCAGTCTTATTGCCTAACTGGGATAAGAGGGAGACCTTGGTCTTGAACTTTGCCTGACCGGAATAATAGGAGAGAAAGACCTCAGCTTGAACAAATATCAGCTTTTTCACCACCTGGGGACTTGTTGCTCATATCTTATTGGCCTCATGATACTTGATCTGTAGGTTAACCCAATTGGAGGAGTGGGATGGATACGGGGCACCAATCAACTCTTTCTATCACCAATGACGTCATCGGAACACATGAGGTGACCAGTAGATACTTGTTTATATTTAGCTACTAATGTGTTTTGTGTCCACCAATCATATTTTGCAATAGATTGTGTCATCTAAAATTCAAGGTCAAACTGAGGTAGGCAAAATTCCCCAGAAAACCAGAAAAATTTTTGGGCGACTGTAAAAATAAAGAAACAGTGGGCAGACACTTTGAAATATGACTTGATGTTCACCACCTCCCACTGCAAAAAACCTCTATAGACATGCTTCAATATGACAGGCTTCAAGTACTACACTATTTGTTCTTCTTTCTTTTAGAACTTTCTTGCCATAGGTAGAGAAAGTGTTTCTTGACTTTTCTAGGGCACAGGAAGCCAAGTTTTTGTTTGAAAACGAATATAAACAAGAGAAAGGGTTTGGAAGTATCTCTTAAAGTAAAACTTTAAGTTGGTTTAAGGATAGTATTAAGACTTTATTAGCAAAGAAATAAAAAATTTCTTGCAAACATTTTTTTTGTGTGTGAACAGAAGATCAGCAGAAAAAGTTTTTTTTAAACATGATTCTTATCTAAAAAATCTTATAAAATTAATAATTATTTTAGAAGAAGAATGGAATCAAATTGAATTAGGCCGTAATAGATAGTAATGAGAATCTAACAAAATATTAATAGTATTAATAAAATATTCAGACTTTTGTGAACACATTAGTATAAATTTTATTAAAAGTTATTTAGTAAATTCTTTAATAATAATAAAAATAAAATCAACTTTGAATTTTAAAAATTGTAATGATCAACATGTGGTCAGATACTTTTGGCAGGTGAGTGTGCATGTACCATTAGATGCAATGCAACTTTGTTAATCAGATTGCCTTGATAAAAGGTTGTGTGGCAGATTAGTTAAGCGATCATACGTAATACCGTGCTGTAATGATTTATTATACAAGTTTGAATTTTTAATTTAATACATTAAAATTTACAGTAATTGCGAATACATACTGTATATAATTTTCTCCGCAAAAAAGTATGTACTTTATACGTACTGTATTTATCTTTCCGATAATGCGTACATTGAAACGTTGAAATTAGAAATTTTGACAATTGCGACATAATTCTTAAGGTACATACTTGTCATCCGTTTTGAAAAGCTATAGTGAGTTATATGAAAACCAATAATAGAGAGTTTAAAAACCTGCATTCATAGATAAAAAATCAACTTGTGTAGTATGCTCCAGTGACCTAATTATCTTTCTATAACAAACTCAGTCAAACTCATCACGCCTCGAGCGTTAAAGTGTGTTGTGTTTGTTTTTGAGTTCGGTTATTTGTGCTTAACTTGCACAAGCGACACTGACCATTCGTTTGCGGCAATAACAGGATTTTTTAGGGTACCATTATATTTCTTGCAAGGATTTGTTTACAGTGTTGATCTCCGCATGATGCATGTAAAACATTACTTGTACTCTTGATAAGAGGGAAATGATTTTTTTTTGTTACACATTGACAATACTCGTAAAACGATGTCAGAAACAAAATTATGGTAATCAAAAAAAAAAAAAAAAAAGACGCCATTTTTCACAAGGTACGAAACTATAAATTAGAAGGATTTTTACCACGCTATTCTGAATTCAATTCTATTTACATTGATAACTATGGTAAAAATAGAAGAATTCGTCAATAGTATTCCATCTCTATCTAGGTCTAAAGCCACATACATATCTATTCCTAAGGGTAATTACTTGGGAGATATGAAACTTAAAGGAGGTTTTATGGGTTTCAGTAGAATACAGAGGATAAACTGCAGAGATAACAAACTTCAAAGCTTGGAGATAGGTGCTCCTTTTCCTTTTCATGTCCTTTCTATAGCAGGGGTTCTGTTTGAATACAAATTTAGGACAGCTAAGGCCAGTCAAGCATCTCCACTTGGACTCGAAGGAAGATTAACCGAGATTGATTGCGCTGAAAACAGACTTGTTAATCTAACAATACATAATTTCCGCAATCTAGTCAACTTACTTTGCGAGAAAAATAGACTGAAAGAGTTGAACCTTGGGAACTGTCGAAACCTGGTTCACCTATCTTGTTCCGATAATGAATTGGAAAACCTATATTTGGATAATTGCTGTAATCTTGGCTATCTCGATTGTTCAAACAACAATTTAAAAAAGTTAGACCTTGGTAGTTGTCATGAATTAACTTATTTATACTGTGAGAACAACCAGATAGGCGAATTGAATTTAACCAATCCGAGTAAACTCGAAGAACTCCACTGTTCAGACAATTCTCTTACCGATTTTAATTTTGACATATTACGACCCGAAGGAGTGACCGAACTAAATTTTCATAATAACAAACTTTCGAAGAACTTGTCGTGCTTCTCCCGCTTTGTAAATTTGGAGTTGCTAATGATAGGTAACTCGAGAGGAGACAAGACCAATCGATTTACCATTTCTCCAGATTTCTCTCTTGATTCGTTGCGAAAAAGCCTGCGTGAGCTAAAAGATGGGTCATTTGAAGCTTTCAATACTAATCTCGTTCAGTCTGATGGTAAAGATGTAGAGGAAATTATCAGGAAATTCCGTGAACAAATCGATAATAGGAAAAGAGAAAGGCTAGATATAATAAGGAAACAATTTGAAAATAGACAGCGCATGTTTGCCGAGCGTCGAGCAGCAAGGGCGAGAAAACAGGCGGAAGCAGCTCAAAGAATGCAAGCGGTAACTTCAGCAATGGCCTCAATGTTTCCAAGAGAGACAATTGTGGTGGTAATGTGATTTTGTCTCATGCTGGTGACTGAATGTACTCGAGCGTCATACTGTGTACGTGCGATATGCGTGATTTAATTGGTCAGGTTATGTTTTCGATTCAAGATTACGATATTATCGTTATATTCTACAGAATTCATTTTGTTTTATTATCACATTATTCCTCTATATTATCTCTAAATATGCATAAAAATATGTATATAGTTATCGATATCATTATTTATGTTCGAATATGTTTATTTGAGCGAACTTAAACTTATAAATTAGCTTTTGTGGCTTTACAATTTACGTACAGTTGCTTCTTTTTTTTTTTTTTATGGTATTCATTTGGTCAGTTTCATATTGCTAATAAATCTTTATTAATTAAATAGTCATTGATGCATTCATAAACAACATAAAAGTGGTTTAAAATACTTTATGTGCACACTTTTCTAATCAACCTCTATACGTTGTTTTTCGATCATACCTTTAGACAAATGTTTGCACGCAGTAAGTATTTTTCGAAAAATCGATCCTTAGTTCAATTATTACGTATTTGCATCAAAACATTCGATAATATTATTGCATGTACCAGAATAAATAAATAAGATAAAATAAAATAAAAACATAAAAGTAGGGAGGGGAAAATTCGTAACCATTTTAGATTCAAAAATAATATCAAATAATTCTTACAATGTTTTAAAGAATTGTTCCGGAAAGTAGCAGCAAAACTTTTTTATTAATAATTTTTCTATGTAATCATTAATTTGGAATTCCTCATTAGAAACTTTACAGGTTAATGTACGTACTGTATATTGTTGCTGGGTAATCGGCGAGACTGTCGTTATTCTCTGCTGCTTGCGAAACCATGCGCATCAAATACAATACGCAAAAACTAAAAATAAAAAACAGGTATATAAGGTAAGAGGAGATAGACTGGGGTGGGTATAAAACGATTATTTATTCATTTAAATGTCGCACAAATTTAGGCGCTTATATACGTACTGTACATGCTACTGTACGTACGTATTTCACTTTTTACGTAATTAAGAGGCTAAGTTTAATCCAATGCATTATTCTATATACTGTGATATTTGTTTCTATCCTTTGTGCAGCCACTAAATGCCATAATTTATTGTTATCACCGTTGTTTTTGTTATTTTTATAATTATTTAAATATTCTTTATAAATACAGTGATATTTAATTGTAATTATAATTACAATAAACATTAAATTAATTAATTAAATTTCAATACGATAAATGCAAAGAGACCGTCTATGAAGTCTAAATACACTGTATATTTTATGAATATTTTCGTTAAACACACGTTTTTACTATAATATCAAGTTGAATCCGTAATATTAAATATTCCCTCTATATTCTAACAATACATTAAATGATGCTATCGGCGCAAATAATGTTGTACGTTAGCATCAATTCGCCAAAAATAAATCATTTGACTTGCTTTAATTGACCACCTGCAATCAACTCACATTCAATCTTTGTTTTAAATTATATCCTTTCATCCATTCACTTTATTGGCATTTTTCTTTATTTTGATGACAATATTTGGTTTGTGTTTTCAAACAATGTTTAATATAGAAAGCAATTATATTTCCTTCCACATTACCAAATGGTTTGGTTTTCTAAAACATCTTATCGGAAATTTGAATTTAGATAATCAATTTCTGAAAAGAATATACGCATGAATTATAGTATCAGCGACACCATACCACTAGGTGTCACCAATACGTACTACGTATAATTAACCGATGCATGTATACAATTGATTCTCAAAAAAAAAAAAAAAAAAAACGCATTGATAAACTGATCGATCATTTAAATAGTATCAAACTGATAAATTTGTAAAAGATAAGAAAAACCCGGCAGAAGTCATCAACATACTGTAAATACTGTATATATAAGTACGTAACACCTATTGTTAATGGATAATCTAAAGAGAGCACAATTAATATCATTTAACCTTTTATATTTGTGTCGTGAGAAACGCAATGTGTAGTTTTTAAAAAAAAAAAAACTTCATACCTATCCAGATATCGTACAAATGTACTTGCGCATTATCGGCAAATCTGTATACATACCCATATTATATTCCAAAATTGGAATTACCAAGTACGTACGGTACTATGCTACGTATTATCGTTATTTATTACGACCAGTTTGCGTATAAATAAACTCATTTTGGTGTAGCGTGTGATAAAAATGATTAACAAGTAAATATGATTATTATTTATACAGTATACAGTATATTTTCTTAGTCTTGATTACATAAAAATACATAAAAAGAACTTCAAGAAATTATAATATTAATATGTTTGATACAAATTATTAATTTGCTGTTTATTATTAACATAAAAAAATTAATACTTAAAAAAAAGTAAAATTTAAATTTGATTAGAGAACAAATCTAAAGAATTTTAATAAAAAAATATGATATTTATATATATTTTTTTTGAAAAAAAAAATAAATAAATCAAGATTACTATTTAAAGCCAATAAATAAAAAAGTATACATTTTTTTCCTTTTAATTAAATTATATACTGTATCATCATTATAAAATATATTATAATTATTTTTAAGATTTAAATTTTATTAAATATTATTTTAAAATGATTTAACAGAAAAATTATCCATATGTATTATTTTTATAATAATTAATATTAAATATTTAATTATAAATATTACAATATAAATTAATATATTTTAAATAAAAAATTCGGATATTTATTAATTAGAATTATTTCTAAAGTTAATTAAGTACTTTATATTTATAAATCAAATTAATATAGTCAATATATTAAGACTACATATAGATATCTCTTTCCGCTGATCCTCTGATCACACACAAAAAAGATGTTGCAAGAAGTTTTTATACTTCCTTGCTAATAAAGTCTTAATACTTTCCTTAAAACAACTTGAAGTATAACTTCAAG